CAAGGTTTTCATGGTGGGAGGGATAAAGGAAACATGAGCACAATGGTGGCGGCTGTGGCTCAGAGGCACAGCGGGTCGTCCACTAATCGGAGTGTCGTTGGTTCGATCCCCGCCTCTTCCCGCCACATGAAGTATCCTTGAGCAAGATACTGGACCTCAAAATGCTCCATTTACAATGTGTCACATCCTGGGTGGAAATCCCAGGTTGAACCAGGATTAAAAACCAGACAATTTAAATAATATAAAAATAATATACCCAACAATAATAATAAAACAGATTAGAAGTGTTGGAAATAAAACTGTGTCGTGCAGGATTTATTTATTACAAATTAGCGTATCACAAACTTTCTATGAGCGCAATTTGGCGCACATTAAAAAACTTTAAACTTCACTGCTCCCTTGCGGAGCAGAAACATCCTTTCCTCCACCCGATGACTCAGCTCTTACAGGGGGTTCCCGAGGCGTTCCCAGACCAGATGGGATATTTAAACCCTCCAGCATGTTCTTGGTCTTCTCGCTTTTGTCTTCTCCCAGTTGGTCACACTAATCGCCACAGGGAGGCGTCCAGGAGGCGTCCTGAGCAGATGTCTCATCAAGCTTAACTGTCTCCCGTCAACAAAAGAAAATACTGATTTTATGTCTGCATAATGTGTTCTGTTTCATAGATCTGTGACCCTACGGACTGTCAAACAAAGCTGTAAAGCTTCTCCACTGCTTTAGTGTTTATTGGATTATTTGAATAATGACTGTGCACGTCAAATCCTTTGTCTTTTCCCGTCAATCAAAGTGATCCAAAATGAGTCAAAAAAGAAAAATATCTACTCCGATTCGATGTGTAAGACAATAAAACATGAAAACCTCTCAGCACAAACTCACACACAAGTTTCTTATAGTAATTCCAAGCAGGTTTTAAGCGTATAACTGGAAAAGTGACAACATTATGCTAATAAGTGTTTGATTTCTGAGTGTACTGTTGATTGTGAGGCAGTGGAGGAGAAGCTGCTCACAGCTGCAAACCATTGAAACTAATGATGGGTGAGACAGCTGGATAACAAAATGTTTAATATTAAAGCTAAGAAAAATTGTTTTTATTAAACAAAAATTAAATTGATCGACATCCATTGTGTAGGTTTAGTTCTTGTACACGAACTGTAAAAACAAGCCTTTACAATGACTGAATATCTTTGTATCAGTATTATAGTTGTATTACAGTCACACTTTAGTGGTCCCCATGTGAAAGCACGGTTATATTATTGCTTTGCCCCAAATTATGTAACCTAATGTATACTGATCTTTATAGTATGCTGTTTTTGCAGTTAGTATACAATAAATGAAACATTAAACTGTTTTATACTATCAGGAAATGATGCAGCTGTGACTTTTAAATGCAGCTCCCAGTTGACCTTTTACTTCTCGCTCTGTGCTCCAATAACAGTTGAGCAAACCTTTCTCCTTAGACACTCTGTGCATATATTTTAAAGACGATTAAAAGATAAAAGTGACATATCATCGTGAATCTGTAGCTAGCTAGTTAGCAGGGTTGGTAGGGTTACTTTAAAAATGTAATCCAATACTGTACTGATACTAATTACCTGTTAAAAGATGTAGTCAGTAACCTAATCCAAGTATAGCCGTATTGAAGTAACATAGCTTTATTACTTGCAGTTACTTTTGGATTACCTCAACACCAAATATGCCAATAAAGACAAAAGAGAAATATCAATAAGAAGTATTGATGGAGGTGTATTCTGTAAGACAACAGAACAATGTAATGTAGAAATGTGTCCTCTGCTCAGCGTATTTTTAAAGAGAAACAGACGCATTATAACTAAGACTAGATGACTAGCAAGCCACTTTACATCAATCATTACATTTGCTGACATTAGCTAACTTATGATTGGACTATAAATACGTCTCTTTTATCTTTTAACCCTCTTCAAAATTTGGTCGTCTTTCAAGGCTCGCTCTGCTGTTATTGGAGCACAGGGCAAAAAGGAGCGGGACTTAGGAAGGGTCAATTATGTTATACAATAAATCTAATAAATGCTAAATGTTTTTGAAAAAAGTAATAAAATAACAAATATAATAGCACTCAGTTTTTTTACTGTGCATTTACTGCAACTACTCAACTTTAACACTTAAAACCTGCTCATAATTAATTTGTAGTCAGGCTTGTGTTTTGAAATATTCTGAATATTTAACATGTTTTCAGGGGTTTGAAGGACTTCATTATCCCCAAACTATACGGCAAACCGCACACTCATTAAACCTTAAATATCTTTTCTTTTTGAGTTTGTGAAGATCTGGAGAGACTCATCCATCACTGGAAGGAGCACTCGTTTGACAAGAGTGTTTAATACCGACATTTTCCTGACAGACTCCATACAGACATCTGACTTTTATTTGACAAGGATGAAGAATCTGCCGTGCATCATTCGAGATAAGCACTAAATAAAACAACACGAAGCTTTCTAGCTCAATCCCCCTTTGAAGGTTGTAAAGACATGTCGGTGCCATTTGATCCCAGAAAATCAAGCAAAAATACCCCCAAAAAACTTGGATGTTTGATCTTGAATCAAAATTTAACATCAGAAGTGTCAAACTGAATGACTTTGCAGTGAAATAAAGCAGTGTGGTGCTAAAAATAGGTAAAATAAATCAGAAGCTAAATCGAAAGCTTCAACGGAAGATTAATGACGTGTGAAAACTGTCACTGCTGCCCCGCAGGTTTTAAACAAGGGCTTTTATTAAACGGGGGTATTTTATTTTGACACCATATCTGGGACAAATGCCAGTTGACACCAGAGAGAAAGGCTTTGCAGAAGGTCAGGAAGCATGTGCTTTGTTTTTAGAGTCGATTTTTACAAGCAAGGTCAATATGCTCTCTCCTCCTTGTTATATAGCTGCACGGACATTTTCTAGTTAATATTATGTGGAGAAATATTTAATGAGCAGGAAATAATTTGCACTCTTTTGCTTTATAATGAAAATCTATTACCCCTAGCTTTTTGTAATATTACTCTGGGGAACTGTTTTCCTGCTCCTTCCTCCAATTACAGGCTGATAATGCTTCAGGGATTTAATGGTGGTGTTATGGAGAGTTTACGACGTCCTCCATGTGCTAAATATAATCTTGTGTGTCTTCTACAGGCAGTGGTTCCCAACCTCGGGGTCAGGACCCCTTCAGGAGGTCACAAAATAAATTCGTGATTAACAGGATTACTGTGAAAATCATATTACTTCTGTGCATGTTTGTATTTTTTTTAAATACTATTTAGTTTTGTCTAAAAGATATTCAGAAATAATTAGATTTAATATTTTATTATGTATTTTCTTTAACTGTAACAGGTTGTTGCATCTCAACGGTCTTCTTTCGGCTATAATCAGTGTTTTTATGATGATAATGTAAAAACAATTTAACAATGTTAAAGTAGTTTTCAGCTTGTTGTGTTGCTATCGTGCCTTTATTACTGCTTTAGTTTATTCTCAATGCTCTCGTTGGTTTTCAGCAGCAGGCAGCTGTTTTCAGGATAAAAGCTCTAAAGCAGACAGCACAGACGCAACCGATGGTGGTCACAGTGGAGCATTTAGCAGCTAAAGAGCCAGATATTTCCCTCAGGAAACAGAGCTGTTTATATTCATCAGGAACAACTCAATTATTGTTGCTCTGTCACTGCTGGATGTAAATTAGCAGCAATTTGCTACCAAGCTCATAACAACTGAGGAGGTTAGAATACCGACTTGTTTCTGTTGCCCCAGGGTGGGAAATACTGATTGCAGGTTTAAATACGGGGGTTTTATATAAATGTCATGACACTCTATGTCAGCCTTGCAAGGTTCAGGCTGATTTTAAAACAAAAGCTAGCACACTGAGTGATTTTTCAACCCACCAAACCTGCTGATTGTCATACATTTGGTAAGGATGTTCCAGCAGCACTGATCACAGGACAGTCACATTAATTGAGTTCACGTTTAACTGTGCAGAACAGATCCTCACATTTGTCCCTAGTTCCCGATTAAATGTCCTCGTTTCCACCACTCAGTGGGCCACAGAGACTAACAGTAAAAACATTCCTGGATTCTTGTAACCATGACAACGACCCCCAAAACGATAATCTTTCCCTAAATCTTAACCAAGTTGTTTTGAGGCAAACCTAACCTTAACCTGCAACATCATAAAATGGACAGTGCTGGAATGTAACTAAGTACATTTACTCAAGCACAAACTTGAGCTAATTGTACTTGAGTATTTTCTCCTCATTTCATTTACATAACCAGGAAATTGGACTTTTAACAGCTTTAAATGAGATGATTTTCTGCTTTTCCTCATAACAATTCAGTTTTTAGACTTTAAATGTCTTTCTAATCGACTAATTTTAAGTGTCACTTGGAGTAAATATTACTGCATTTCTTACACATTTTTGGTCTTTTTTACAAAACAATCGATTATTGAATAATGAAGAAGATTTATCCATCATGAAAATTAGTTTTCAGTCCTAGTTTCAGAAGCAGTTCAGAATAAGCTTTACATTAATGTATGAGTTCATTGTACAGTTTTAAATATAATATGAAAATCCATTAAAAACCTCAGCAGGGAAAAAGGTCCCTTACGGAAACAGATAGGGAACCACTGAAGTCAAGGATCTGCATACTTCCTCCAGCACTGACAATGGATGTAGAAAGCTCAGACAAATTACATTAAACCTTTCCCCAAGGTCAAAAATGAACATTTATTCTCAGTTTATGTTCATATTTTTATATTTATATATTTATTTATAGCACCATCTTATTCCAACACTGTAGTCTTTATAGTCTGATCACATAATCAACAGATGATCACCGACAACATGCAGGTAATTCAGAGTGATGAAATGCCCCCCCCATCCTCTCCCTCCCTCCTTCATCCTCCTCCTCCTCCTCCTCCAGTGTAATGATTTGTAACGTCAGTCTCGGTGCCGAAAGAAGCACCGTGCATCCCTTCCCTGTGTTTATGTGTGTGTGTGTGTGTGTGTGTGTGTGTGGTTGGCTGAAAGGAGTTGCCACGAAGCTCCTGCAGACAGACATTTTCTGATCCTCCGAGCTTCCCATAATCTGTCAGATTAAACCCAGCGGGACCTCCTCTGCGCTCCTGCGTCTCCAGCCTCCTCCTACACATCACCATATTGTCTCCTGTTGTGTTTCTGTTCATTCACACCCTCAAACAGCGCCGATTGTTTTTTTTCCTCCTTTCCTTCCTCGCTGAGATGACAGCCGGCTGTCTGCGGTGCTGAAACTCCCGCGACCTTCCACCTGCGGCGGAGAAAAGGCGAATTTATGCGTCTCCTGCTGACAATTTGACGCAAAATTGAGCCCGCCAGACACAAGCGGAGGGGAAGGGTCTAACTACCTGTTAGCTCCTCCGGGCTGCGGGATCACACTGGCTCTGCTGCGTGTGTGAAGTGTCCTCTCATCTTTATTTAATCCCTATTTGAATTCGCAGCTGCATGTCTTCTGACCTACTTTGTGCAAGTTGGGAATAAAACCGACGCAGGAGGAGGAGAAAGCAGCGCAGACTCGGCAGGTCTATGAGGAGCTGAGGATGGAGGTGGTGTGGAAACAGTGGTGACCCTGTTGGTAGGGGGAAGTTCCAGTCATAACGCAAGGGGAGTTAAGGGAAGCTTGGAGGGGGTGAGAAAGGGGCGAGAGGGGAAGGTCTGCTGAAGAGCCAGATGTGTGCGCGTCTGAGCGCGGAGACAGAGAAGGTTATGACCGCGTCTCTTCACCCGGACCTGGGGCTGCTGCTGCTGCTGCTGCTGGCCTGCTGGCAAGCGCCGGGGATGGTCGGAGCGAGTGAGTCCCTCTGTTTACTCTCTAACTCGGTGTGTTTGTGCGTCTGATTTATGCGTTAGGGTCAAAATGTCGCATCGGAGATATTGTAAAATGACTTTCCAGCTGCAAACAGCTGCAGATTTTGAACCAGGATGTTCCAGAAATCTAAAAGCATGAAACAAACACGAGCACACATGCAAAACTGACTGCATTAGAAAAATGCAGCATTTAACAAACTAGTAGCCCTAACGACCACCTCTGGCAAAACAAATAACAAATATATGTTGATTGATGAAAAGTGGAATGAGCATAACAATGCGATCTTACCAGAAATCACACAATACTTACAGGCTCTAATGGCATGCAGATTGAAGGAGAAGCAGGTGACACCCTGTCACTAATGGAGCCATCACTCCAAGCTCCTTGCTCTTTTTCTTATTGTGTTTGCCCAGCTTATTATCATGTTTGCAAGGAGATTTTGTTTTCCAATAATCAAAATAAATGTTAAAAATACAAAAAAAAAAGAAGGATATTATCCTTATTTTCAATATTAGAGTGCAAGCTGCTTGGTCTTTTTCTTGGTTTTAATCCTCCAGCTGGTGGTCCGGTCTTTAGTGGGGTTGCCAAAGGTTGGCAGAAGTATACACTGAGTATATTTGCTTGGAAAAGCCCCTAAATGAAGATATTTTAACTCAAAAACATTATTGTGGCACATTATGAAGGTGGCGGTTCATTGAACTTAAGCCTAAAATGTGGCCATAACAAACCGTTAAGTTAATTTGCGTTTTATAACACATTCTTTTATAAATAAACCTAAATTAATGAGTTAAATCTGACACCAAACTAGGGTGACAAGGTATTTTTTAGAGGTAGCAGCTGCCACCCCTCTAAATCTGCCCTCAATACTGTGCAGATGTGCATAAAATAATACAAAACATTTCACCCAGTATGAACATCATAAAGCTTCAGTGAGGAGTTATAACCAAGCTGATTAGAGAATATATGTGTGATACAGTCAGACAGTGTGGAATAAGATAGTTTTAACAAACCTAAAGCGACTAAAAGGGGAAAACTGGATGTTAAGGTGCTAAAAAAGCCTTAAAATATTCATAAATTCATGCACCGTATTTAAATAACAAGCTGCATCATCCAGAGCTTTAAGTACATGACAGCAGCACAGCTCTACATCAGTGTATTGCTTCGTCTTTTGATTAGGGTTAAGTGTGAGTGTGTGTGTGAGTGTGTGTGTGTGTGTGTGTGTGTGGTTACTGTACCATGTTTATGTTTTATATTTCAACTAGACAAACAGCTGCTGTAAAACTGTCAAAACCTTAATTGAACGTCTATCAGAGGAGTGAATCCAGAGTAATCTCTCTCCCTCTCCCTCTCTCTCTATCCTGTTTAATTAACTGTAGCAGGAACATACCAGCACTTAAATCATCCAGACCACTGGCCAGAGTCCTGCTCTTTGTCTCTACACAAAATCAAAGCAACCTTTGGCAAACGAAAAGCAAATCAACAAGCGTCTCCTTGGCTGATTACCAAGAGGCGGCTAATCTGCATTTACGAGGCCCCGTATTGATTTCTCCAATGAAGAGTGCTTTAATGTTTCCTCACATGGCCTTCACCTTGTCTGCTCATAACAGAAGCATCTCGTCTTTAACCGTGCGTCCTGCTGCTCTCTGCCTCAGGTTGAAAGAACGATTTACATTCATGACAAACAACCAGAGTCTTTTTCTTGTTCACTATTGGCATCAGTTTAAACACAAATAGCTAGAAAATGTGACCAAAAGAGATTTATTCACTTGGGGTCATTTAAGGTGTTGACCTTGCAAACTTTACATTGAGGTTCATTTAGGAGCTTGTTCTGGAGCTCTCAGATGCCATAGACGATGTAAAAACATGTTTGAGGTCATGAATGAATGCTCAGTTGGAACTTTTTAAGCCAACGTGGATGAAAATAGGATAGGATGTGTTTGTTTGAGTTCGTCCTGCAGTTCCAGCAGCACACAGTATCCATGTTTGCACATACACACCTTCTGACAGTGGCGGTTTTCAGTTTAGGTAGCGCTCAGAAAAATAGAAAATCTAAACATCTGAACTTAAGTGATGTTAATAAGCAGTTTCATGAGTTTCATTGATGTATTTTTTCTTATTTTCGGGGTTATGTAGCAGTTCATGGGCATCTTTACAGCTAATCCAGTGTTGTCCTCTTCTTCAGTCTTGGAGTGAAATACGTCACTCTTAAGAAAACTACATAGATTTGAGATTATTGTTGAGACAATTAGATTTGCATTGCAGTAAATCGGGTTGGTCTCACAACTCTTGCAGGTTTTTCCACTTTTTTATGAAAGACAAATTGGTTTTGGAGGTCAGGTGAATCCCAACATCTGCATATCACTGACACCATGATTGTTTTCATCGTGGGTTGATATATAAGGATAGAGATGGGGGTTGTGATTTCCTCCCTGTATATAACCACCTGTTGTCACATGACCCAGGTACTTTGGCGACTCTTGAGCACATGAGGAAGTCTGTCTATGGTCGAATGCTTTGGGGATAGCTAGGCAATTGGACCTTGTATTTCTTATATTATAATTGCTGTTTGCACTACATCCCCCTGAGCTGCTATGTTTGAATTGCTTCTGTGGGGATCAATAAAGGAACATCTTATCTTAACATATTTACCATATGTATGTCAAGAATGAACATCCATGCTCAAGAACACATTTTGCCCCATTAAAGGGTTTTACGGGGAGGAATATTTCCTTATTTGAATGGTGGGGTCTAAGGATAGAGGATGTGGTACAGATTGTAAAGCCCCCTGAGCCCCAACTGTGTGATATTGGGCTGTATAAATAAAACTGACTTGACTTGACACATTTTCCTTAGATCTGGTTGGATCAGGTTGTGTTTTTCTTTGTTGCCTCTCACTGCTCCCAGATGAAAACCTTTGGAATGAAACGAAAAGCTTTATTAATGCAAGGAGGACTATATGCTTCATATCGCTGCTGTGCTCAATGTTGATTGTCTTTATTTATTCTCTTTGCTGTCATTTTCCCAGGCAGCCTGACGATTTAAATGATGTCTGTGTCTTCTTCTTTTAAGGTTCTCATACCTGTGTGTTTTGTTTTCAGTTCTGACGTGTTGCCGCTCAAATATTCAGCAGAACTCACTTTGATGGGTTCTTGTGGGACATGGCTTAACTTGACTGGCAGAGGGCAAAATAAAATTCTCAGCTAATTGCTGACATTTGGGTCCAGTTCAAAGTGTTGCATAATGTGGTCATTAATCTGAAAATGATTAGCAATGTTCAGATGACGCATAGAAAGTTACTCAAGAATTGCAATTTTTATCCACACTATCTTGTCAGTGCTTACAGAGCACATTTATATAACATTTCTTGTTGGAAAATCAATGAAACAACCCAAAAGAGAAACAAAACGATTACAAACAGCCACAAAAACACACAAATCCACTACAAAGAGACTCAAGATGTTTCGAAACAGACCCAAAAAACGCAAGAAAGACATGCAAAATGATTTTAGATAGACACAGAATGAGCACAGAAAGATTCAAAACAGCCACAGAGAGACACAAAACAACCACAAAGACATGCACAACGACTAGAAAAAGACACAAAACGACACAAATACACCACAAAGGGACAAAAAACAACTCAAAAAAGGAACAAAACAACTGCAAACGTGCAAAAGTCTTCTGTGGGTCTTGTTATCAGGAAGGAGGTGGGGGTCCGTTCACATGTCTGTGCCCAGGTGTCCATTGTCTCACAGTGCGTCCCTGACCATACTGTATCTTAATCAGCATGCACAGGTTGTAACTGTTACTGTATCTCGAGCGCACACACACACACACACACACACTTGCACAGACGTCCATCCATCACAGAGAGCGATGGGAAGCCATTAGCCAGATGAGGCTGTCTGACTTTATCAGCAAACTGTTACTTTACAGTGATTTACGGTCAGCTGTCCGGGCCAAGTCGTACGTCACAGACTACTCGAACTCCAGGACAAACAATGTAAACAACGGCTGTCACGAGGCTTGGTGTTGTTTGTGGAGATGCGAAGGGCTGCAGAGAAACACATGGTTGGTGGACACGTGAACTTCTGGGGACCTGATAAGGACAGAAAGATGAGGGGAAGCCTCAGTAACCACATCCTTGCTGTTCCTCCAGGATTTGTTGGCCCTTTTTTGGAAGGATTTTCTACATAGGTGTTAAAATAAGACAGATCACAGCATATAGCACATAGCAGTGATCCCCTGATTCTTCATCTGGAGTGTGAAATTAGATTTCAGATGATTTCAGATCAGGGGAAAACTTAAGAATCCCAAATTTGGGTGTCTGAAAGCATCGTGAAATGTTTTTAATAATAAATTTGGAGGACAAACAAGGACATGTAGGAGAACGGTGTGTGTCAGTGCTCTTACATCCACCTGAACTGCTGTATTTCATCATTTAATCAATATCCACATTCTACTTCTCCTCCTACTCCCTATTTTCCCTCCACTACTCTCTCCATCGCTTTTTTTTTTTTACCACTCCCTCCAACATTGATCTTTTTTTTCTTTTCTCTCTCGTCCATCCATCTCACTTTGTCCTTCGTCTGTTTTTCCTAAACCCAAATCTCAGAACCCAAAAATTGAAAAATTCACTCGCTACCTCTTGATATCTGGCTGAGATAAGTGCTCTCTCTTCATCTTTTATTTTTCCTCTGACTCATTCATCACTTGTTCTGTCATATTCCTGTCATCTTTCATCCTCCTCTCTCTCTCTCTGTCTCTCTCTGCCGTCCTCTCATCTCCACTGTCTTTTCTTTCTCATCTTCCTCTGTCTTCCTGACTCCATCTAAGCCTCTCCTCTCATCTCATCACCTCTCCTGGTGTGTATAATATAATTGCAGAAGTCTATTCAGCGTGTGCACTCCATTGCAGCCCTGGCAGATGAAAGCAGCTGGGATTTAGCAGCCGTAACATGATGGGAGTTTTGGGAGGGGGGC